ATGATGTGTTCCCCAGAGCGTTTTACTGTGGAGTAATAGGAAGAGTCAGGGATATTGTATGGTGACCAGAGTTGGAGAATGACTTCCCTTGTTCTACGGATAGAGGCAGATTAAGATATAATTCACATAAATTAATTATATAATTAATAAATTAAGATATAATTCACTAAATTAATCCTTTTAAAGTGTTCATAGCATACTAAATATACAGTGATTTTTCCAATAGTTGACTGTTTTTGCACCCATCACCACTATCTAGTTCCAGAATATTTCCACTACCCCCAAAACAATCCCTCCCTCACATTTCCCTTTATCAGTAGTTCCTATTCGCCACCTCCCCCTTCCCTCAGCCAGCGGGTCAGAGTCCAGGCCACTATGATGTCCTTGGCCCCTCCCTCATGATTTCAAGAAGACTGCTATAGCTCCATCATGATATATACTCTGCAGTCAGGAAGAGAGAGACTGGCTCTAAGGGAAAACCCCTGGCTGAGTCAATCCTGTTGATGAGCTTTCCAGAAACTCTCAACCAAAAACATGGCTTACCCCCCACTCCTCTTATGAGGAAGATGGGAAATACAGAAAGGCATGTTGCTGCCCCAAGTAAAATCTACCCAAATAGAAAGGTAGAAGCGGAAGATGGATTTTATGTAGGCAGCTAGCAGTGTCTGCCACAGATGTTCATATATTAAATAAATTTAACCAAGTAATTATTACATTCTGTATTCTTTCCCAAGTGGAGACACAGAAGGACGTATTACAGAATCTTTGATCTCCATGGTCTCAACCTCAAAACATTAGATCAGAAACCAAGACAAGCTAAATTTCTGTCAAGTACACATTGAATCTTTCATACATGATTTTTTTCAGTCTTATGTTTTTTTGTCCATCTGTCACTGCCTAAAGTAATGGGCAACATTTCCATTTTTTGTTTTTTGTTTAAATTTTTTAATGTTTTATTTATTTCTGAGAGAGAGAGAGAGAGAGAGAGACAGACAGACAGACAGCGTGAGCAGGGGAGTGTCAGAAAGAGAGGGAGATATAGAATCTGAAGCAAGCTCTAGGCTGTGAGCTGGCTGTCAGCACAGAGCCTGATGTGGGGCTTGAACCCACAAACCGTGTGATCATGACCTGAGCCCAAGTCGGACGCTTAACTGACTGAGCCACCCAAGCGCCCCAATATTTCCATTTTTGACCCAGTTTGTGAAGCAGAATGAACTTAGTCTCTTACACTTCAGTGGCAATTCTTTAGTTTTAGTGTTTTAGGATTTATTCAATAAGTATGTGTGTGCCCTTATCACTCACAGTTAAAAATACCACCACCAGTGGTGTGCCTGGGTGGTTCAGTCTGTTAAGCGTCTGACTTTGGATCATGTCATGATTTCACAGTTTATGAGTTCGAGCCCCACATCGGCTCTGTGCTGACAGCTTGCAGCCTGGAGACTGCTTCTGATTCTGTGTCTCCCTATCTCTCTGCACCTCCCACACTTGCTTTGTGTCTCTTTCTCTCAAAAATAAATAAAAACCAGATCCTGCTTCAGTCTCCCATCTTGAATCCCCTAAGTTCTCAAAGATGACTGATTTTTTCTTTACTTTTCTTGTAGTTATGTCTTTATTAATAAATAACATGCTGATGCTAAAATCTCTGTTTGTTTTTTTTTGTCAACCTAGGCATTATCTAGTCACTTTTTTCTATCCCTTGTATCTCATACTAAATATGTATGTATACAGGTAATGTTAACTTTAAAAGTAAAACTGCCAGTTATTTTACCAGCAAAAATGGGTTTATTTGGGAATAAAAGATAATTATAAGCCAGGACAAACAAGCTGGGACACAACCTTAGGCAAGTCTGGGCAACAAAGAGGAGGCATGCTTTTTAAAGGAGAAAAGGGGTATGTTGGGAAGGCTGTTAAACTGAAAGTCCACTGATGTAAACTGGGAGCTACAAGTATGGTGGCTTCTCATTGGCTGAGCCACTGCCCTGGATGGGATGGGGGTGGTGCTGAGGAAACTTTCTTCCTTGGGCTGGAGTAGTAGAGTGGTATCCATGTGCAAAGTCAAGTCATGACTTACAAGACCATGTGTAAGGTCAAGTCCCTCCTCTACTGTTGGGTCTGCAATTGACTACCAGTGGTAGGGTATGAGAGTTTCCCCTGGTCAAACCTCTTGACTCCATTTTAGTGAAATTTCCCATTACTAATTTTCACAACACTATGTATTATAATTTAGGTAATGCTCTGGTAGAATCAACACGGAATTCTTGAAATTCTTTTCAACTCTAGAATTTAGTAAATTTATCATCATCACTTTGAATTAAAGTCTAATCAATATGCTGATATGTATATTTGCAATATTAATAATGAATTATTACAGGAGGCTTAAATATTTGACTTAAGTATTTATCAGCTGGTTGTCTTTCATTCATTTATTCAACAACCATGTGCCAAGTCCTTGTCTAGGTTCTCGAAACACAGTGGTGAACAGGACAGAAAAAAAATCCTGCCCTAATAGAACTTATAGTGAAGACAGGAAACTTTTTAAGAAAACAAACAAATGCATTGTAATGTCATATGTAATCAGTACTTTGCATATACAGGAAACATATGGGGTACATTGCTGTTTTAGATGAATTGGTCAGGGGACATATTTCTAAGGAGATGACATCTGTGCAGAGACATGAATAATGAGAAGATGATAGGGAAGAGCATTTTAGGCAGAGGGAACAGTACGTGCAAAGACTGTGAGGTAAGAAAATGCTTGGTATGTTGAGGAGCACAAAGGAGGCAAATTCGGCTGAAATGGAGTATGCCAAGAGAGGAGTCCCAAATGAGATAGACTCATTAGGAGGAGTGTGGATGCTGTGGCAACCAGGATACCTTTTATATTGAGTGTAATGGGGCATTAGTAGCTGGGGAAGAAAATGATTTAACTGTACTTAAGAAAATCACCTTCCGTGTTTTGTAGAGACTAGACTGTAGGACGGCAGAACTAGAAGCAAGGAGGCTCGCTAGTTAAGGAGGCCATTGAGAGATTATGATAATTTGGACTAGGGCATGAAAACACCATTACCCATTTTTCTAGAAAGAGTTGAAGCATAACTATTATTATTATTATTTTAGTGAATCTTAAATGCAGTTTGGGGCTAGAATTAATTTGTAAAGTGCAATGACATGTTTTTGAATATTTAGCTAAGTGACAGTCTAAGCAGACCTGAGCTGCTCTGATACCAGGGAAGGGGGTTTTTGCCTTTTTATTGTCTGTAGCTTCTTTCATGTAGCGCTGCTGACTTGTAAGATAGATGAAGCAACATTGCTCTGCAAGCTCATGATTTATTACCGACATGAACTTGACAGCGTCACTGGGAAAGACATTTGATCTTCAATAGCCTATGAGAAGTTCACCCTTCATGATGCAATTCTTGATCGGAAATAAAAATCCTTTTCAAACCTTTCCTAGGCCTTCCTTTGAGGTAGTGCCAACCATCGGTTCTAAACTTTAGTGGGCCTGAGAATCACCTGGAGAACATGTTAAAACCAGATTCTTGGACTCCACCTACCGCGTTTCTGTTTCTGTAGGTCTGGGGAGGGGCCTGAGATTTGATTGTCTAAGAAACTCGGGTTGTGCTGGTGTTTCAGGGCATTGGACTACACTTTGATTAGGAAAGAGCTGGACCAGATGTTTCCCATTTCTGGTTACTTCAGTTGCCCGGCTTTCTTTTCATAATGCTGACATCATAGGGGGCTGCTCACTGTGGAGAACCTCAGAGGAATATGCTCAACACAGCCTTGTCCAAAACCTTCAACCCTTCTTGGTCAGCGTCTTTTGGGATCTGCTCATGCTTAGAATAAAATCACTGCACACTTTTCACCATTTCTGCCTGTTTTCTTTCCTGTTTTGTCCCTCTCTTCTGCATGGCCTGGTTTAGCTGAAGGTTCTCTTTGCAAGTTCTGCCAATTGCTTGTATGTCTACAAGCTACTCTCTTTCCCTCCCTCTATCTAACAAATTGCCTTTCTGATTCCCCTTCAGATCAATACTTACCACTCATCATTTCTCCTCATTTTATATGTATCTTTTAAAATATTTTTATAGCCCTGTAAAAATCCCATTTGTGATCCATCCTATCTTTATCGCTTTACTATGCTTTTTCTTCATTTTCATTTAAGACCACAGTATGCTGACATCAGAAAACAAGTGATGCCCCTGTTATTATAAATCTACTGACAAAATACATAAAATTATCTAAAACATTGATTTCTCATGGCTCAATTGCTGTAGGTAGAAGACTATCTTTTGACCTCTTTGGATATTGGTTTGATGTATTACTTAGGATTTCCCAATGTATTAAAAAACTTTTTTTTCAGTTGAGGTATAATTTAAACTCAGTAGCATTCACTCTTTTTAATGTACAGTTGAAAGAGTTTTGAAAAACACATACAGTTCTGTAACCCCCACCACAGATGAGGTGCAGAACAGTGCCTTCACCCCAGAAAGTTCCCTCTTACCCCTATACAGTACCCCTTCCCTCAGCCCTTGGCAACCACTCATCAGTTTCCCGTCCCCACAGTTTTGCCCTTTCCAGAATGTGGAATTAAAATGAAAACAGAAATGTTTTTATTACATTCAAACTTGAATTTAGTCCTTGCACTTAAAGAAGAATTCTAAAACCTGAGTCTATATAAATTTTTTGCCAAATATACTCAACTGTCCTTGTAATAAATATTTTGTTTTGTTTACTTTTTTAGAATAGAATGAACATGGAGCATGGCATTTCATGATTCTTTGGTTTCAGAATATTACTATCTTCAAAAATAGTCTTCCTTTTCTGTTTTCATTTTAAAAGAAAACGATTTTTAAAAACACTTTCTGAATATGTTCAGATGTGAAAGATTTTATTCATTTACTTACTATTTAAAAAACTAGATAAAAATTAAGTGAAGAAATAGATACCTTTTTTTAAAGATAGACAAACTGACATTTCTTTTCATCTTTTTTTTAATACAGGTGTTTGCTTCAGAATGGTAAGTCATCATAATCCGTTAACTATTTTCTTTTTTTGCCATTTTCTCCCTACTGATATTTCTACTCACAGAGATAGAGCGGTTTTCTACTTAGTGCTAACCCACTGCTTATTTTCTGTCCTTGACAGCAAATGAAGTATTTGTATTTCTTCCAAATTACTGCTTGAGATTTTTGATCAAAGCTATCTTTGAAAAGTAGTCTATTGAAAACATTTCAGCCTGCCTAGTTTTTAATGTTTTATAGTTTTTAGTTATAGTTTTATAGTTAATGTTTTTAGTTAATTTATATAAATTTCAAAAGTACCTCCACTGGGATAATCAGATTAAATGTTTTAGTTAGATCTACAGAACATAAAGTAGGGGATCTTCCCCTTGTTCTGTATGGAAAACGGTTTTCTGCAGTAATTCCCACTGTCAATTTATTTATTTATTTTTATAATGTCCTTGTCTTTACTGAAAGAGGAATTTAGTAAAAACATACCATTTAAGTGAAGGTTCTTATAAACAGAGGTATGATTGTAGGTCAGATACACAATTTTTGTATTTTAGGAAAAATACAGCTACACAATTTCCTGTATTTTAGGAAAAAATTATTATCAGTCTGCATTTTTTGATGTTGGACTTTGTTTCTTGTATTTTCTCCTAAAACCAGTACACAGAAGATGAGGCTAGGAAAATTGGAGTGGTTGGCTGGGTGAAGAATACCAGCAAAGGCACTGTGACAGGCCAAGTACAAGGCCCTGAAGAGAAAGTCAACTCCATGTAAGTAGCAAGACTCAACACACTTATGCTATTTGTGAACTTATTTTAGTGTTTCGTTGGGCAGTAAGAATTGTATTGATGGACCAGATTCAGTTTGTAGATATAACTCAACTTGCATGCTTGTAGGCATGCCAACAAGAAAGTCCGCAGAGCTGGGAATGGAATTTGTACATGTCGGAATGGATTTCCCATTTGGGCAAGGCTCTCAAAAAGAACAATAGTGTCACTCCTTAATCTGTTTGAATTGTGTTCTGTCTCTTCTAACATGGGGGATACATCGGGACCCATATATCTCTTATCCGAAGTGGTTGTGAAGAAGCATAGTGCCTTTGGATTGTTCTTAAAGTTCTTAAAGTAGACTTCAAGGCCAAAAGGCCGCCCTCTCCTTTTTATTAAGTATCTTATTTATATAATTGTAGTTTTATTTTTGCTGTCGATGAAAGTATGGTCTGTGAGCTATATGGTTATGATAATGAGTCCTTGTATTCCAAAGGAGATCGGATTCAGTAACACAGAAAAAAGTGCCCTGTTGTATTCAAAGGCCTTCTTTTTTTGTAAGTTCCACTACTCTTCATAGTCTTTTTTTTTTTTAATAAAAAAAGATAACATTTATTGAGTATTTGCAATGTTAGGCAATATGCTAAACACTTCACATAGATTATCTCATTTAATCTACACAATAGGATCTTATACCTAATTTAACTTATTTTATTGTTTGCAACTTATCTTTGTTTTCATTACTATATGTCTTCACATTTCAAAAGTAATACTTTTTTGATTGTTGTAGTAAGTGAATAAGATGCTGAGAGATAAAAAGATAAAACCAGTAATCTGCCCATTCCCCTCTGCTTCCCTCCCCTTGATGGCACCTGTGCTTGTGGCTTTGTAAATACTTTCTGAAACTTTCTTTTTCACTTAAAACTATTTAAGCATTTAGTTAGGGTTTTGCTTGTTTTTGCTGAAATGGAATACTTGATGCATATTTTTCGGTAACTAGTTTTTTCATTTTATAGACATTCATCAATCAGTAAATATATAACCACTGACTTCTTGTTTTCCCAATTTCTTTATGTGTATGTACACTCTTGGTGTTTGTGTGTAAAACTGTACCCCAACTTGAAAAGTGGGGTCTAAGAGTTTAGTTTCATAAAATGTATTATAACAGTTAATGAAAAACAATAATTATCAATACGATTGCCACAAAATGCATACAAGGAAAGATTCTGAGACTTATATTGTAAATGGTTCAATGGATGAGAAAGTGCCAAATGACTATGAGGTATTGAGAATACGGGCTGCAAGGAGGAGAGATGCTTACACCTATCATGTTATATCCTAATCCATGTTGTAGCAGGTTTTTGATCAATATCCTTAACATAAATACATGCTGCCCAATTTTTCTTTTCAACCCCTGTACACCTGGTTTTTCTTCTCAGTAGTAAAAGTGATCTATATTAGCAACTGGGTGGGTTTCCTCCCATATTTGTTTCCATATTCACCTTCTCATACACATCTGATCCACTACTGACTATTTACTCAAAGAAAGTGAAAACACTAATTCAAAAAGATATATGCACCCTTATATTTATTGTGGCGTTATTTACAATAGCTAAATTATGGAAACAGCCCCCAAGTGTCTTTTGACAGGTGAATGGATGAAGAGGGTGTGGTATATATATACAGTGGAATATCACTCAGCCATAAAAAAGAATGAAATCTTGCCATTTGCAACAACATGGATGGACCTAGAAAGTGTAATGCTAAGTGAAATAAGTCAGAGAAAGACAAGTACATATGATTTCACTCATGTGTGGAATTTGAGAAACAGAACAAATAAATAAAGAGAAAAGAGACAAACCAAAAATCAGACTCTTAACCACAGAGAACAGATAGTTACCAGAGAGGAAGTGGGTGGGGGATGGGTGGAATAGGTGAAGGGGATTAAGAATTCACTTATCATGATGAGCACTGAATAATGTATAGAATCGCTGAATCACTATATCGTACACCTAATACTAATATATCGCTATATGTTAATTATACTGGAATTAAAAAACAAAAGAAAACAGGGGTGCCTGGGTGGCTCAGTCAGTAAGTGTCTGACTTCAGCTCAGGTCATGATTTCACAGTTTGTGAGTTTGAGCTCCGCATCAGGCTCTGTGCTCACAGCCTGGAGCCAATTTCAGATTCTGTGTCTTCGTCTCTCTGCCCCTCCCTCACTTGTGCTGTGTCTCTCTCTCTCAAAAATAAATAAGCATTAAAACAAAACAAAACAAACATACATCCCAGAAAATCTGTCCAAGTCAGATGGTAGAGCTTCAATTCATTCTTTTTAATGGCTGCTTAATAATTGACAAGTGTTAGTGTGCCATTATTGCTGAGAATTCATTTTGTTTCTTTTTTTTTCCCCAGTAAGAGCAATGCCATAATAAACATTTTAGTGGTGATTTTATATTTGGGAGATAGATTCCCAGAAGTGCAGTTTCTTGGTTGACATATCTGTGTACTTTTCCTTTTAAAAATATTTGTCAGATTGCTTCTCAAAACAGCTGTAAACAATTTACTTTTTTTTTTCTTCATCCTGTAGGCAATTGGTATTATTGCTGTCTAATTTTTTTTTTTTATCTGGTTGGGGGTAGAGTAATATGGTATTTTTTCACTGTAATTTGCATTTCTCTAATTACTGGTTATTTTGAGAGTCTTCATGCTTGTGTCTATGTGGGTTTATTCTCATGAACTCACTCCCTTTCACATCCTTCACCCATTTGTCTATGGGGCTGCTTGTCTCTTGCCAATGTTTAAGAGCTCTTTGTATATTGGTAATGATCACTAACTCATTATTTGTAATCTCTTTTGCAAGTATTTTCCCGGTTCTATTCTTTGCCTATTCATTAGTTTTGTTTATTGATGATAAATTTTTGCAACGTGAATTGTTTAATTTTTATAAACTCACATATAGCTCTCTTTTCTTTCTGGTTAAGAAATAGATTGTAAATGTTGTTCCCTAGGTTTCTTTCTACCTTTTTGATGCTTTATTTATTACATTAGGCATTTATTACATCTGGAATTTGCTTTTACTTAGAATATGAGACTGGGGGCTATTTTCTACCATAATGTAATAGCCAGTTGTGCCAGCACTATTATTTTATTTTTTTTTTTTTATTTTTTTTTTTATTTTTTATTTTTTTTACAAATAGTTTATTGT